ATTTTATCAGCGTAATTTTATAGCCTATGTTACCCGCATATGATGTAGCTTGCCGAAGGTAAAAATTGTTTTATGATCAGATCAGTATTTCGGAAGATAATTTACAACAATAAATGAAACGTACCATCCAATCCGCATTGGGCCAGCGTAGAGGGTCGTGGCCCATCCTTCTTAACCATTCATAAGGAAGGCCCGAGCCCCTGCAGTGGGGACGTAAAAGGGCTGATGATGAACCAATGAAACTTTACTTCGTTATAGTACAAGTAGAAATTACTAATAACCATTGGATCTGCTATCTCGGAAATATATCTATTCACGCAATTTTCTAATATTTTCTACGAGTTATTTCTTGAACAAATAGAAAGAAATAAAAATCTAAAGGTTAGCGACCTGTAGACGGCTTATGAGAGTAAAATAATAACAATAACTTCAAATGCGATCCGAAGAAAAAAACCGACGCTAGCGCAATGTCATTACAGCAGAGGCGACGACGGACGTCGTGAACCATAGACTTAACAAAACACGAAAGCTTATTTTATAATATTTATCTGTATATTCTAGGGTTTTTCAAAATGGCAGGGAGAAGTCGTGAGAGGAAACGTTACAGCAACGTCATCCAGAACTTTCGTATTACAATCTTTGAATTCGTGAAGACACAAGACACCGCACTGTTTTCTAGTAAAATTTTAAAATCATAAAAAATATACTCAATGAAATGAAAATGACATGGAGATGCATGTCATAAATAATTGTGTTACCCATATATAATCATGATTTCCCATGTATTTATCATATAAGCTTAGATTATATAATGGTTTTATATATTCCTGCGTAAATAATAGAATGAGTTCTATAAAGCAAATATTTTTATTTTAATTATTATATTTGATTAATTTTGTATTCACAGTTCTGTACTGATATTTTTACTACGGACTTTAATATCCTTCTAATGAAAATTTTCTTAAATTTTTCGTGTAAAATATATTTTTGTTATTCATTGTCGAAAAAAATTACAAACAAAATATGGGTAAGCTAGAATCCAGTTTTTTATTATAATTAAGTCTGTTCTAAATGTTTTATGGCATTGCTTGCTACACTTGTCTATCACTATTTGAGTCCGTAGTAATCAAATCAGCGTCGGCCCAACGCTGTCATTTATATTCTCTTCCATGGTTATACATTAGATTTTTTCGCTTTCTTAGATAAAATAATTCTACACTAAAGTAAAAAATATATTATAAATTAGTTTAAAAACTAAACCCCCTCCACAGCTAAATCACGCTCTAAAAAGTGATTTAGTTATAGTCAGGATTTTTCGAAAATCACTACCAAAAGCTATCAAAAATATATATTTTTAATGTGCTAATTAAGCCCTTTTTATTTAATACCCTACATGGAATGTTAGAATAATATATTTTTTTAGTTTCTTACTTTATGCTCTTTATAGAGAGACGCTTCTAATAATACCTCATTTGATCACACACGATCAATAATTTCGAAGTTATAAGAGAAAAGATGAACATTCTTACATACATACATAACGGCCAAAATCATAACCCTCCTTTTCGCTTTAACGTAGTCAGGTAATAACTGGAGTATGTCCTGAGTTTGCGCCGGAGATCAGTTTCATTTTTTATGGAAGTCTTAGGATTTAAATGTTTTCCATAAAAGCTGCCCGGACAACTAACCGTTACGAATTGACAAAAACTCGATTTAAAAAAACTTTCAATCCCGTCAATATAATACAATAACTATTACATCGCGCCTTATTTCCGGTACGATGTTTTCGATTTGATTGATCAATTTCGATGATCAATATCACGGGCGTCGTGATTGGCTACCGGCGGCCGAACGTAATCTTTCATCTGTACGTAGATACACTGCGTTTATATTACTAAAAGAAAAAATTTATAGAGAATCGGAATGAGCTATGTAGTTTGAATGTTGAGGCAATGTTGTTGTTCGGAGAGCTGCGGTTATTCTTGGTCAAATAAAGTCAATCTTGGTTCGTGTGAAAATTTGATAACGAAACTATGGATCGATGGGGCTGTGGAGTGATGGCTGCGGTCAGGCCGCGCTACTGTGGGATGTAATAAGCGGTTCAGATTAGCTCCCCCCCTCGGTATCAACACGTATCCGAGACGTCATGTAATCCACGCAGGTGTGAAAGATTTGAATTGCTTTGATTCGTTAGTTCAGAAGTAGAAAGCACATTAAAATCAATCCATTGGATTTTTTTTAAATGTGTATTAAATAAACTAATGATTTTATTAACACTATTAAACTGTTTTCTGTGAAAGTTTTTAATAAAACAATATTGTTTTGTGATTTTTTATTCGAGACAAAAGAATAACGCACATTTAGCCACCATTTCGTATTCATTTTTTTTTTAGATTAGTAAAGACTCATTCTTATTCCGCTTTATTGAGTTTCCTTTTTAATGTCGAATAAAAGTAAAAGTTTGGTTACAATACAACTACAGGTTGAATAGCAGAATTAAAGTAAACAAACATAGGGTAACATCGAGGGATGACGTTCCACAGACAATCGGAACCAGCAATTACTGCGATGATGGAACACCTTCACTAGACGCAAACGTATGTAGATACGTTCGTATTTGTATATAAAATGTGAATTCAAGTGTTGTGAATAGTTGTTGTGAATACAAGATAAATATTTATAGATTGATTTCTGACAACACTTAAAAGACAACGATTTTTTTAAATAAAGAATAAAGAAAAAATCAATTTGATTCCTGGACAACTTCTAAGAAAAGTAAAAACTTTGACTTAGACGAGTTCTGAAAAATGTCGATACCAAATTGGCCTTTATTTGATTAAAGATCTTTATTTTAAAATTAATAATGATATCAAAACGTTTTACATTTTTACTTACATTTAAAATCATCGGATCGTTTGGAAATAGCCTCTATGTGACTACATAATACTCTAAAGTGAATACAATTCTTTTTAAATCAAAAAGTAAGTAATTTTGTCGGGCCTGGCAATCTTTAATTTCTTCGGTGTTTTTTATTTTCTTTAAACAAGCGCGTTTTTAAAGGTAAAGTTAACTTAATTTGATATGTAACGTTGTCTAATATGTATTTGTTTATCTTATTATTCATCAACATTTTTCATACGTAGAATTATATCACGTCATTTATCCCTCTACAAAAATGATTATATCTTGACTTTTGCTACTGCTACTAAGAAGTCATTTGTTTGAAACAAGTATTAGAGTGACACGGGTTACTGTGAGCTAATAACGTGCGTAATGGCAGCCAGTTATTAGGTGCGCGAGCGCAATTGCCGCGCTCTGATGAAAGCCTGCTGGGATTGCCTTGTAAACGCCCCGAAGCTCATGCTATAGAACTTAGGATCAACAGAATTGGCTCTATGATAATATTGATTTTTAGTATTATTCTTGCTATAAGTATACTATTGATCGGAATAAACCGGTTGTAAATTAAAATAAATACACATTTTTTTTCCTTAGAGTTCCTTAGACTTTATGCATACCTACATAGAACAACATTAGTTTCAGAGGGTCATAGTGACGCCATGACAGAAGTTGGCGTTTTCGCGGGAAATTACGAAAGCTAAAAGTATTTTTAGATTTTAAAGTTATTAAAAGAGTGGGACATTTTAAAAATGTTCTTTTAGATATATTTCATGCATACCTCTATAAAAAATATATTAAAAAAAGTTGTCTACACTCCTATTGTCGGCGTAAAATTACATTCTTTAATTTGAAATCCTGCTGACACAAAACATAAATACTGCATCACTTAAGTTTTTTTTTAAATAATTCTAAAATAGATAAATAATATATTTATTTGTTTTATATTATGTCCTTAGGTCAATAGCTCGACGCCACTGCTACTTCATGACAACTCTAGACCACACACTGCACAGCAGATGACTACCAAATTAGATGAGCTTCAATTGAAATGTCTATGACATCCGCCGTACTCCCTGGACCTTGCTCCAACAGATAACCATTTTTTTTCGAAATCTGGATAACTTCTTGCAAGGGAAAAAATTCAACTCCGACGGGGCAGTGCAAATCGCCTTCAAAGATTTTATTGATTCCCGTCCGAATGGTTTTTTTTAGTAAGGGGATCAATGAACTACCTATGAAATGGCAAAAGTGCATAGATAACAATGGTTTATACTTTGATTAAATAAATATATTATATTAAAAAATATTCGACTTTTTGTTCCTCCCACACCAAACACTTAATATTTCAAAAGCTTTTTCGATACATAATTTATTAAATTACATGTCTAAGAGATGCTAAAGTTCGTTTGTTGCCCTCGTCGGCAAATAAGGCGGCAGTCAGTTAGAGACTCGTGATTGTGAGCCGTAATGATAATAAGCGCGGATATTAATAAATTTAGCAGCACTGCCCGTTTACAGTTATTTAGGGCATAATTACGGGAAAATTAGATTTTGCCTGTAGTAGGTGTTGTTTAGCGCGATTTGTATGTTTATGACATTGTAGGCGAAATGATTTTTTTTATTCACATTTTATATGATTTTAACAAATTTCTTATGTAGTTTGCTATATAAAGTGTCATAATACATATTGGTAATTATAGTTTATATTTAAATGAAATTTCAACAGCTTCCTATAAATTACACTGAGCTATTCATGTTACTTTTTCATTCTTGGTAGAACACCAGTCTAGTTAATTATTATCCCAAATTATATTAGCTTATCGCCATTTCCTTAGCCGCTGGCATATCGTTCTTATTTAAATTACTTCTCTTATTTTCTAATCGCACATTAGTATTTCAGTTGTTGAATACTACTGAATGATTGAGCAATTTCCGTATAGGAGCGAAACCTGTTTTCTTAATTTTATTATGGCAGCACGACTTACGCATTTTGCCAACGTCAAGTAAAAGAAATATTTCATCACCAGGTAATGCAAAAAGATCTTGCATTATTATGACAAGAGCTATCATCATAGTTTTTATTATTTTAGTAAACTTACCGCCTGCTGGTAGATTTGCGTTTGTCTTGTACTCTCTGTCTTCATGTGATAAAGACCGTATGCTTCTAACTGGAGAGCTCTTGTATTCCATGTCTCTCAGCGCCAATTGGGAGTCTATTAGCGTTCTTTGGAAACTGAATGTCCTTATTGGGTGGGTAGATGCATTTGTACCTGTGAAATAAAAACAGGTTCTATAGTGGGTCTGTAGATTGCTGTACTGAAGTGAGTTGCATACTTGCTGAACTTTCGAGTTTAGCCAAGTATAGTTTATAGGTGCTTTCGTAATGTGCTGCGGCCATGTCGCGGAACGCATTATGTTCAACTGAAGCTGACATATGTTTTCAAACAATATTATTTTATTTTATACAACGTTTGCTAGAGAAGTATGTAAGAATAAAAACTCTTTATTGCGTTTATTCAAAATAAAATCTGACCTTTTTTGAATTTTATCTTTTTTTTTCAAAGCCTCCCAACATAATTGCAGTACAACATTATTAAATGATCCACATATACCTATATTAATTAAAACAGCCATTTTAAAACAAGCATCCAAAACAACTCACTCGAAAGGCTATTATTATTTAAAGGACTTATTGCTCACGAGTACGAAAATCCCGCTTATATCAACAGCGAACAAAGAGTAGACAGGGACAAACGGGTACTTAGCGCATAAGCTCCAAACTCGGTGCTGCAAGAAAGGAAGATTCACGTGGCGGGACTTAAAAGTTTGACTTAATAGACTTAAATTGTAGGTGCCCGGCTATAAGCCGATTCGTAGTGACCCTATCTAATTAAGATACTAAGTCGATAAAACAGTTTATTAAGGAATATTGGTGACAATACATAGAAAATAAAATAAAAGATGGTATAATACATAGTTAGATAGAAGAGGCTAACTGCTGAGTGAAACGTTTTTTCAACGCATCATTTAAATAATATTGCGATAAAAAGTATACTTTAAGTGCTACTTATTAATACGAGTAGATTAGCTGTGCTTAAAAATTAAAGAGGGAATATCATATGTATAATCAAAATGTGTGATTAAAAGCGAATTTTTGATTACAAATTGTGTTACACCCATTTGCCTTTAGTACGCAAAGTTAAAATGCTCATATTTGAAACTCCTTGCATTTGTTTGTGTTGAATTAATAATAGTGCCGATGCGTTTCGTATTGTGTAAACTAATTATGTGCACATTTTTTGTTTCTTTCAATTTTACCGAACCTTTGTAATTGTAGCGGCGTTTACAAATAGAGGCCGGTGTGGTGTAGGTGGCCCTTTTTTGTGATGTCTAAAAAAGATCACCAATTACTATCTAATAAGGTGATTGACACGCAGTTATTTGCACTGAAATTGGATAACGTTTGGGCTTAAGGTTACCCATAAGGTAAATGATTGTTGCAAAATTTTAATATTTTGGAAAAAAAAATGATTACCATAATTTATAAAAAAAAATATCACTCTACTCAATTATACGATGATATAATATTGCAATAATTATCGTATCAAGCTAAGGTTTTAAAAGTATGAATTACATTATAATATCGTTTGAAAATATTTTCTCAATGGAATAAATAAGTTTTTGCATGATTTTTATACTTTGTTTCGTATTTATTATCGTATCGTTTATTTTTGATTCAAACTTATATGACGTCGTCGTGTCTTTCGCAGCAGTTGCTTGGCGTGCGTGAGTACAACTTATTATGAGTTATTACAGATATAATTCCACTATTGTTGGCTGAGGGCGCAGTCCCATATGGTGTAACGTGTTTTTTTCACCAGTCAATTTCGATAGTTCCAGGTCCTTTCAATGGGTCCTAAGGGTTGCCAAATCGCTGCGAAAACTGGGATAACAACTATGTCCTTTTATTTTGTGGATTATGATATTTTGCTTTTATACCTATAGGTTTATGTATATAATATTTAAGTAAATATAAATTGAATGATTCAAATTAGTAAAAGGAAATATCCATAGTTTCCTTGATGGTGTGCTGTTTATTAGAAGTAAATATAAATTTATTATAGATAGTCTAAAATACCCTTTAGTACCTCTTTGGACACAGAACACTACCTCTGAGCGTGGAAAATATTTATTTACATTCTGAAATTATAAGTAATCAATTTCATAAAAAAAAAATTTGCTATAAATTATTGCTTTGAAGGAACACTTAGATTTATGTCATACCTGGTTGTCCTTGTTTGATTGAAAATATGGTGTCCCTACAAGTTTCGCGTGACTGCCGGTCGGAAGGGCGGCGGAAGACGATATTTTATAATATTAATTAGCCGTATTTATATTTGTGAAAAGAAATTGTTTCTGCTGATGCTCACTTTACTGCGATTATGTATTTGTTAGATGGTAATGTGACTTTATAATTAGCTAAACCATATATTTTTCCTATCCTTTAGAAAAATAGGTATTTTAAAAATTTCTCAGGTGCCCAAGATAGAATCTAAATCCGTATCCTTTCGAAAACCGGGCCTTCGCATCGATCGCATTTTCATCAATGTTCCGGCAATCTACGTTGAAAAATTTATATTTACCCTCGTATAATAGTCATGTCATTGTAAAATATTGAAATAGCTAATAATCGATGTAGGTTATTAAGAAGAGGAAGCCAATATTACGCTAGTTAACCGAGTAGAGAAGACTGAAGCAGAACGTGTCTGGCTTCCTATAAAATTGACGTGAAAAATACAGGTACTATAAATAGTTATTGCGTCTAAATAATCAAAGTAAAACCATTTATTCCATAGGATAAATACACTGAAATAGGTGATGGTAAGGAAATGTGTTTCAATAATAATTTAGTTTTCAAATGAACATGGAAACAATATTACTGATAACGCTAAAATCAAAACCGCATGTCAAATATATCATTGCACTATATTCGTTTTTGTGACACAATAGTTTATCAGTACAATATAAGGACCGTGGGAAGACACACTTATCAAACTGTACGATGTGGTTCATATCGCGTGTGAAAAACAACATGATAAAAATAGAGTCAAATATAACTGTTATAACTCTATAAAATTTGCATAGCTATTTATAAAAATCCTATTTTACTATTGTTGTTAAGTGCAAGAAATTCTGCGTTTGGGCTATAAAGTCTTTATTTTCTCATTTAAATGTATATCAAAAATAGTTTTCTAAATTAAGTATGGTCTTGTTTTTATTATTAACTAGCGGTTTTACCACGATTTATACCACGTAAATTTAGGGATATGTCACCCGCGTGCCGTGTAGCTTTCCATAGGTGAAAGAATTTCCATGATTCGATTAGTATTTTAGAATTTGCTCATAACAAACAAACGTCACCTCTTTATAATATTAATATTAAGGGTACTGAGTTGTAATGTAAACAGAGTAGGTGCAAACTCAACCGCGCTGATTATATTATTGATCCAAATAAACTAATTTCATATACTAAAAAAATATCACTATCACTTAAAGTTAAGGTTGATAGCACCCTGTTAAAAAATCCTTAAACTCTACCTTAAGCACAGTGCTGTGGCACAATAGAGCTGCAATGAAATAAAACCTTAATTATGTTTTCAAACATGTTTTATTTGATTGAATCCCTTTGCTATAATAGCAATATTTTTTTATAACATAATAGCATTACATATCAAATAGAACCGAAAGATGAGGATGCCGATTGATAGGTGATTAGAATTGCGATGATTTTGCTTGTACTGGTTTGTGAAAGTTTTCGTACAAACAATTTCGTTTCTTCGGAGTTCGAGGAGGATAATGTGCGTTTAATATTAAACAGAACTTACTTGTTTTAGATCGCGGCTCCCGTGGTCCATCGACGGTCACTTTGATAGCTTTTTGGTAAGTTGCCACTTGAGGTGGGCTCGTGGATATCATTATCGTTAGAGAGAAGCTTTTACCTGCAATGCAAAACGTTATATTAATACCTTTTTAGGTGAACCTATCTCGATTTTAGATAGACAGTTAATTACTAAATCACCTATTCAAGAATTAAGAAGCAGCTCATCGGCAAGCACATTTACTACTTAATCTTCCGGTCTAAGTTCGAATATCATCAAATATGCAATTGAAATTTCATTTTTCCTGTAATTTAATCTTGAGTTTCTTATATGCGAAAGTGTAGTTAATGGTGATTCGGCGAAGCTTATGTTAATCATTACATAGTGAGCAGAAAAAAAATTTTTTACTTCTTAATATATTCCCTAGACAATATATAAGTATTGCCAAAAATACGTTTCCAAAAGTAAACAAAATCGAAATTCTTGTTGATCCTTTCATTAGTCGTTCGCCCAAAACACATAACATTGCTTTGTTAATCAACGGTACAATACAAATTAACAGACTGTACATAACCCTTTAAACTAGTGCACCGGCTAACTACAGTGCGGGAATGGTTGAAAATAGCGAGCTTTTTGGGCGCCCGATTTGCGGTGACCAGTAATGAATGCGCCGATAAATAGCGAATAAAATTACAGTTAAAATGAGTGGATTAACATGTCTAATGCAGATAATTCGCGTGTAGCCTACTCGATTTGATATAAATGACTGATTTCAACGTGCGGACGTTGGATTTAGATGCATTTAGATATTCCTCTCGCGTGTTAAGCGATGTGAAGAGTGTACTAACATGGCATGTCCGATATTTATCATCGCAGGGAATTGCAATATTGTTTTCGTGGGTATTTTTGATATGAGTTTGTACTGATTAAATAATAAGACGTGTAAAATTCGATAATAATAAGAGGTTGTCAAAAATCTTAAGATACAAGTGTCCAAAAAAGTCGAATAGAAAGGTTTTTTGGAAACGTATACGATAAATTTAACTCTCGTGTACGTTGCCACTTTAAAAGGTATCAAAAATTAAAATGATAAAATATCCTATATAATAGTAGGTTTACTCATTTTACTTTAAGGTTAACTTAAATTATTGGCTTGTTCAGCTGTTGAGTTTTAAGACTGGTAATTCTATTCCCGGCCACGGTCGAGTTCAGCATTCCCTGACACCAGCGAGCATCGTGCCCCGTATACGGCGACATCTCAATGTCGCATGTCGCTTTCTCACAAAGGCGACTCGCGAACCGTTTCAATACGGAAACAAATCATCATAAAACGCGAACTAAACTCGAGGCGTGTCTTGAATGATGTGAAATATTGCTTTTAAAATCGCTATTAAAGTTAATGCATTTCGTATGATCACTCATCAACAGTTTAGGACCTAACACAATGCTGCAAGCTATAAACTGTAACATTGTATCGCCTCGCGAGGTGTTGAGAGAGTTGCGTGAAATATTCAATTATTATATGCGGGCGCAGGTGGGTTGGGGTGGAGTGCGGAGGGGATGGGCGGCCATCTTGATTTACGATCGAGCGTAAATCCTCAGTGACATTTGTGAGTGAAGACGACTTGCGTTCCAGTGCTGTGTTCGAGTGACACGCATTTCAGAGAATCATCTCTTGCGGTCTCTACATAGGTGTCTGGAAATGATGAATATAAAAAGTCCCCAATATAAAACTTCATTGAATCGTGTGCTATATTTTGTTGTATCCGAGTTCACAAACGTATGAACTGATGATCTGTATGATATGTTAGTTAAACATATAAAACTAATCGTATACAAAATAGAGCTGAAGGTAAGATAAGGTACACTAAAATCAGATGTAGTAACATATTTGCGAATATTATCACATGCGTTGGTATCGTCAGTTAAATTATTTTGATTTTCTGTCAATTTCACTTGGGTTACGTGGAGTAATGTTTTCCTTTCAATACTTTGCGATCGGCCGCCATCTCAAAATTCACTTTTTTAGTCCTATCTTTTAGTGTCGAATATCTGTCGGCAGTGGCTCACTGGATGAAATAAGCGGAATATTGTGTTTTGTGGCGCACCTTGGGAGAGGCATGCAACAGGATGATATGATTGCTACTATCTTAATCAGCGTGTATCTATTCACTTTGTTTCGCCTTGTTCGCAATTTAAATATCATTACTTCTTTTTAATTACATATCCATTTATCCATATAATGATAAGTCACTTCTCAATATTTATTTTACATGTATTTTTGTTGTTAGAAGATACATAATTGTATGAAACTGTGACTAATTAAAAACTGAAGAGATCCAAATCTTATTATTAAAAAACGTATGAACTAAGAACGAGGGCACACTAAAAAAAAATTGAGAACGAGTGATGCGTTGATGAGCGTCCCGTGAAATGATTTGGTCACATTCTGGTCACGCCGCTTACGCCGCTCGCCCCTAATCATCTGTTCGATTTGATGACAACTTTGTCCCACTTACAATTTCTGACGTGATTAAATATTTTAAGCCTTATTTTCAATGCAATAAGGGGTGTACAAAAGATTTACGATGTATTTCTTCAAAAATATTTCGACCTAAAGAATGTTATATATATTTAAAACATATTACGTTTATAAGTTTTAAATAAATTAGCGTCGATATGTGTTTGTATGTTTTACGTAAGTAAATGATAATGAGATATTCACATACGGTTTGTCTTCAGTAGTTGGTTACTTATTATTTAAAGTTATGACAATTTATATAATGAAAACAAACGTCGCATTTATATACTACAACTGAGAGAATATACAATTTTATAACACAATAAAAATTACCATATCATATTCAACCAACAAATAAAATGAGGTTTGTTTATTTTTAACTCCTAATGAATGGTTGACTTGGTTGATATTTATGATTATTACCTGTATATTATGTAGGTAACTCAAGTAATTTTGAAAACAAATATGTAGGTACATCTGAACCCTTGCGTCACCTGTCGAATCCATCTTATCACATCAATGAACCAATATTTTGACTATACGATCACTAATAGCAGTTTGACAGCGCCACCGATATTAAGTTACAAATATACGTCCGATTTATAATGAACTCTGATTTAATAATTTTGTTTTAGATGGGTGAGGTCTCTCCAAATCGGTTATAAATCTGGTTTGGAATGATATTAGGATCAATGAAAGTTTCTTACAAAGAACGTGGTAGCAAAATCTGTCGTAGTTGTATTGTACGATATGTATATAGGTAGAATACCGTTATTTTTTAAATTAAATGATAATTAATTAATAATAAATAAATTAGATGATAATATTGAAATGCAAATGATAACATCGATGATCGCAATTATCTATTCTTACTAATAAGGAACTTATAGCCGTTACATACCTTTCACGTCTTTCTAATGTGCCTTGCAATTCGGGTGAAAGAGACAAAATACTGTGTATCTATAAATATCATATAACAACGTTTTCGCAATGGTTATTCGGGTTCTAATGTTTATCTTATAATAAGAGTTGTGAGGGTTATCTGTACGCAGTGTGGACGTGGCCGCATAGCTAGTAATTTAAAAAATAATTGAAATCAAGCTCCACCCTCACTATCTCTTCGGACACAGGACGTGATTGACACCCGAGTCTCCTTAATAATTGGTCAATCTGTCTCACATTTCTATACTTTTTTATCATTTTCTATTTTCCAAAAATTGAAATACAACGTGCGCTTTACATTGTTTATACATATAATAGCCAGCATACTACATTTATATAGTTAGTAGACAGTTATGATGGTAGATATAAGAATATAAAAAGTATACTGTTCTATTTGTTTTATATTTAATTCAATTATTAAACAAATATATGTATTTTATATTGAACTTTAGTTTTGAAACACCATCAGCTACACTAATCAAGATATAATTTTGTACAGTTCGAAATCACTTTTTAGTAATAAAACCCCCAATTGTATAGTTCAATTTATTGTATCCATGTTTGCTTTTGTCCATTATTGGTGTAAAATAATGAATATTCATTAATTCATAATAAGGATAATATCTATAAGAAATCAGCTTTAATCTGTACAGCCGGCAGTAAGTAAGTTAGTCTCCAAATAATGTTTAATTAAACCTTTACCCTCTTATTATACTGACTTTAGTACCAGGTTTATACCATTATCCGACCAAAATAAATCAAAACATTTCATGTTCACGTTTTCTGTTCTGTCATTGTCATTTTGCTTTAGGCAGTCATTTGTTTAAAAGTATAATTCTAATAGTTTAATGAACTATACCTATAACATATACTATGTTGAATCTGCAAGTATTTCTTATAATTTATCATTTCTATATATTTGTAGCTCTCGTACAATGTTGGCCATTAGGAATGGCCTGTGATTTCCTGAGCGCATGGCATGTGGGTCGGAATGGCTGCGTACGCGCACAATGGGGCTGTAAAGTCGAGTTTTACCGCGCGGTTTGGAAATTAAAATACGCCTTTTCTTACGACCAAAAGTAGCTTGACGACAATCTTCCCTTAAAAATAATCAAGTATAAGGGTAAGTGAAGGATTTATAGTATATTTTGGAAATTTTATCCTTTTGTCTGATTTAAAAAAAGAAATTGAAAATAAGTGATATCCGTAGTAATCAATATGTTAAACAAACTATTATAAATGTGAAAGTGAGTTTGTCAGTATCTTTATCCTTTAAGGGGCATGTGTTTTCCTGTATGGAAATAATGAAGGGCATTATTTTATACCGAAATATATATTTCTGTCATAATAACCAATGTCAAAGGCGGTAATTTCTACAGCAGAAAAAATATCTCATTCGCATTTTAAAACGTGTTATAATATCATTGACAGTTAAAAATATTAAGATTTTATTAAAATTAATAATTCACGTCGAAATACTTCACTGTTTTGCCTCTTTGTACCGAGGTGTAATTTCTACCTAAATTGTGTTTTTTTGGGAAAAAGCAAAATAAGTTGTTCGCGTTATTTATGGAATGGACTCAAACTCAAACAAATTAAAATTTTAATGATACTTCGAAATAAAAGTACTATATTTCGAAATTGAACATCAAAAGTTATTTTATTTACGGATCAGTATCAGTGACATTAAAATAAGGTAACTTCTCTTGACGTATAAAGAAAACTGTTTATTTGTAAGTCATAGGGATAACGCTCAAGTTAGGACCTCTGCTTTAGGGTAACAGTGAAGTGCTATTTTATCCATCTGACGGTGACCATTTCTGATCTGTGGATGGATATGATTTTTAAAACTTGAAAATATTTGAAAGTTCGATACAACGGCAGTTAGCTGCTTAGGTTATAATTATAAAAAAAAATGAATATAAAAGTTATTCGCGCTAAAACAAGAAACCACACGCTTCCTTTTGAATTTTCCGCGCAGTGAGGGTTACCGTTTGGAGTTAAACAAATTGATAGTAAATTGGCATGTAATTCAACGATGACACGAACTTAGGAGGCGAGTTGCCATGTTCGTGATTTAGAAACTACGGCGCTTCACCGCAAAACGATTATTTTGTTTATTGCCTTTTAAAGGAGGGGGGTAACCTTAATCGCGTTAACGTTTAAGTTTTCTTTTACTCTCTTACTTGCTAACGGTTATTTCAATGCAGTCGCGTTTATAAAGAGTTGTCGCAAGTTCAATGGAAGACGTACAAATTCCGCAATAAAATGAAGAGGTTTTTGATTTTGGAGTGTCTATTGCTATTAAAATTAGAAGTTACTTAGCTATGAGCATGAGGTTACTTAACAAATCTTGGCTGGTACATAAAAAATATTTCGATGAACTGACAGTTGATATATGTTTTGCATTTCTTATGTTTCCAGGTCGCCACGTATTCGAACAAAAATATGCAGATAGTCAAAAGCACCTCCAGTTACTACAATTGATTCTAAACCTAACTATGTCGAGGATAAAGCATAAATAAAAAATATTAATTTTTGTAGCAACCAGAATTATTTTTATGTCATCATCATCATCATCACCAGCCCTTTTTACGTCCCTACTGCAGAGGCCTTCCCTATAGATTGTTAAGGAGGATGGACCATGACCCTCCACGCTGGCCCAATGCGGATTGGAGGGTATTAATGACTGCAAATGCAGCCGGGACCATCGGCTTAACGTGCCTTCCAAAGCACGGAGTAGCTCGAGATAATAATTTTTTGATCACCCATCCCGTGACCGACCCTAGCAAAAGTTGCTGAACGACTACGATCGCGGGCCGCGGCGCTTATCCACTATGTCACCGAGATACTCATTTTTATGTATCTATACATAAATGTTTTATACGCATTAAGTAAAATTACGAATTTAAAAAATCCAATGATAGTTTACGTCGGCTATTGAGAAGTAAAAAGAAACAATACCAATTACCAAGTCTTTGACAAAAGCCGTCTGAAATTTGCAAACGATTTCGCTCTTTGATTATTTGTTATTTATTAAAATTATCTTATATCGCTATGAATTTTTAATGGCTACAGCTTAAAGTATTTATTTTTTATATACTCTATATCCATATCCGACATCATTACAACACGCCAGCTGATATTCAAGTACAAGAAAATAAAATAAGAGTGTCGAAATCCCCAGTTTTTATGCGTGATTATTGAATAAACATGAATGTACTTATTTCATATCCTGGTGACTAAGAATGAAATTTTAATAAATTGATATTAAGACGTTAGGGAAATACGTATTTGAGTAAATATTGTGTCTGTGGCCGAATTCTATAGAGTGCGATGACTCATGGTTTGTGAAGAATGCTAATTTATAGATCAAAGTCGTATTTCGATGGTTAAGAACATACTATTGCTAACCTCTGTGGTCATATGGCTCGTAGACTGGTTTCACAAAATTATTGCAGTCGCGGCTGCAATAGTATTATTTTAGACTTGGATACGGTAGTTGTAGTACCTTCCGTGTTTCAGATTACAAACTCATTTGATTATATATTTCATTCGCTTTATTTCAGACAGATACCACTTATCTATTGATAGATAAATAGTTTAAAACAAAGTCGCTACCCGCTCTTTGTACGCCGCTGTAGTATAAAACTACAAAACGTATTTTAATGCAGTTATCATCAATATACAGAGTGATTCAAGAGGAATTTATATATTTTAATAATACGGAACCAAGCGGGCGAAGCCGCTGGTGGGAAGCTAGTTTGTATAATATTGTCATCGAGTGGCCCGCACACCGGTTCCGCAGTGCTGCCATTTTTTAAGGTTGCAGTTTCAATTCATGAGTTTTTACGTTTGTTTTGCGTGGTGCTTCCTTATTTGTTTTGGATTACCGTACCACAAGGGTTTTAATGTTGGACAATGTAATACTGTATAATGTGTTTTATGAAACGTAAATATGTTAAGTGTTGAATGATTTTATAATTATTTCAATGTCCTTCATTCATTATTTACTTAAATTTATTATAGTAAAAAGTATCACACTAGTGTTTTTAGTTTTAAATGTCAAAGGTATATTATAATGTAATTTGGGCATGGAGAAACTTTTTATGTGTGCAAATTAACATACACGATGATAAATTGATAGTTAATATTCTATGGATTTTAATTGGTTCTAATACGAGTGGTTATCAATAACTCGTTGCTAGGATGTTTTTAACAGCGAGTTTAATTTGATGTGGCACGTGTATTTTATAATCGATAGTTTATCGTTCCTGTGATTGTGCCATAATATATTTTTTCGCTCTCCGTATCTCAGGGGAGAATAAACTTATATGGATTACTATAATATCCGCTTGTTAACACCTTTGCGGTGTGGAAGTACCACTTGTATGGTGAAATTAATAAGAAATACTCAGGTCTGCGTTCCTTTGGATAGTTAATATTCTGTGGATTTTACTTGGTTCTAATACGAGTGGCTAACAATAACTCGTTGCTAGGATGTTTCCTTTGGAGCTGTATTGTATTTAACGCATAGGGCACATAGTTGTCCTATGATTATGAAATTTGACAAGTAGAATATATTTTAGTTTATAAAGAAAAAAAATCGAAAACCGTAAATTTCAGGTTACCTATGTTATAAATACCACATATATACTTAATAGCATTTTTGCCGAAACTTCGTCTGCGTAAATTATAACTTATGTCACCAGCGAGCGTTTAATGTAGTTCCAGTAGAAGAAAGATTTTGTAACGGCTCAGTGCTTTTAGAGCCTATTGAACAGGGAAACAAAATAACCAAATTTTTCTTCTTTTTATTATAGATAGAAGACAAATTCGTAAGGATTCCTTGATGCAAGAGTCGATTCGCACTTTTCTGATTTTTTAAATAATAATAACTTTATTGTACAATAGAAAAAAGTGAATATAAGAAAATCTTAGACAGATATCGTAGAATAGGCGATATTATCGCTTGCATGCGAATTCTTCCAGGCAATCAATAATATAAAGATAAAAAAGGAATGGCGATTTTCGTGAGTATTAAACACCATAAATGCTTAAATAATACCAGGAGGAGATCCTTAATAAAGAAGAACGGTTATAATTCTGTTGACTGTACCTATGGTACCTAGATTGGGGTACCGTGACTAGTAGTAGGCGAATAATAATTGCCTAATCTAGCGTCGAGTGTGGGCGGCCGGCCATGATTTGCGCACCGACCTCTAATAACTAGATTAACTATTGATTTTAATGTCTCTCTTTATTTGATTAACACTGAACATTCACATTATTCTTGGGTATTCTAATTTTTTCTTGGGTATTGTATTCTGAACTATAAAATGACGATGTTAATATTATAAACAATAATACACAACAATTAGGAAAGTGCTATTCATTAGTAAAATCAAAAATGATTTAATGATTATATGAATTTCTTTACCTTTTGTTTTTTTACATTAGCACATAAAATTATTAACACATATATTAATTTATCATCATCATTGGTCCCATGACGCCCATTGCTGAGCATAGGCCTCCCTCAAAGATCTTTACGCTGCCCGCAACCTTTATAAGATTGTCGGTTGTCTATCAATTGAGGTACGCGGTCGACAATCCAGAACCTTCCAGAAACAACAAAACAACAACAGAGAAACCAAGCATTACTCTGTCCATAGTGAACGATCACGTCTCGCCAACATAAGTCTTCACTGGCGACTAATGTCAACTCACGTTGGTCGAGGACTTTTGTCTCGAGAGAGATCTGAACGGAAAGAAGAGTAAAAGCTGTTATTAATAAAAAGTATAAGTATTTACCTCTCCCGCTCCTCCCAACGAATCTAAGGTCATTGAACTTAGCGACTCTATTTTTCATGACCGTTGAGTTGTTCCTCAGTTCCGCGCAGCAGTTCTCGTCGTTGCCCGCCATCACTGTCACCAGAGTGCCGTCGAGGACGTCCGATAGTGCAACAACCTTAAACCCTCCCGGTAACGTCTTGTTTGATCGCCAGTGCTGCGGCAGCATCGAACACATGTAGTCCGGGCTGCCAGTAGGTACTGCAAAAAAATAATAATTAAAAATCACATTCGACGTTAATTTAATTGGCACCTGTACATATTTTTTAAAGGACCAAAATAATATTCATTTGTTACAATATGGGTATCAAATTAAAGGGCTCAATACAAGGATTCCAAAAAGATATATCATGATCATTACCGTAATACTAATAAAAATAATACAATGATAAAGATTAAAAATATGGACTTTGTTCTTTTGTTTTCTTAACCAACCTGCTAATGTCTAATTAAAAAAACAAATAAAATTATAAATAAAAAATAGAAAAGCCGCCTGCGTGACAAACAACTAATTTAAAACGCTGGAACAAAATAAAAAACATTATGCAATATCATACATAACATGCAGTCGGAGGTATGAAATTGAATAATAAGTCAAATCTCAGTCTAGATGACTGATGTTGCATAATTTTTTATCTTGTTTTCAGTTAGTTGTTTTTCACGCAGGCGGGTTTTTCTAACTATTAATTTATTTTCTCTTAGAGTGCATCAGTACTAGAAAATGTGGCGGGCTTTCGGGAGTTGCTGTTTTGTGTCACCGCCGAAGGCGATACGAGCTTAAAAAGAGGTAGCATACATTCGCAAAACATGAAGCCATGAATCGTCTTTTGTCTTTTTTAACCCCTTTTGCAAAATACCGACTTTTTAAAAGAGAATTTAATTGTAGAAAATAGTTGTAGAAGATTATTCGAATAGCTGAAAGTGTTAATTAGGTTCGAGTGCTGATGGTTTTCGATGAATATTTTTCATACTTCAGACAATATTTTTTTAATTTTTAACCGTATTATCCCCCTGATTAAGTCACCGTGTAACATTGGCAATTTACATGCTTTAGGTGTTTAAAATATTCCGATAGTTATAGAATCACATAATAAAATAGTTCCAGATCACCAAAATTGTTTTGCGTGCGAAGTCGCCGGCAAATCTACTTAAGAGTGAACTTCTTAAAAATATTGTAATTGATACTTATATTTTGGGTGCATCTGCAGTTGTTAATATCATAGTTAAATGTGGTCTTTAATTTAGTTTTATTAAGTTGGAGGTGCATTTATTTCGTTCATCCCCCCACTTTAACAGATTTGTGAAACCGATTTGATATACGGGACAAAGTTGGCCTGACGGGACATTTGAATTTTCGCAGTGAAACACAAGACGTCACTCATCAATCTACACTGGGCTCTCGTGGTGGGTCACGGCATTGCTCATTCTCCCTATTCGAGTCCATCCATTAGGAAGTACGGTAATACATATTTAAGATTATGTGTACATTACCAATTTAAAATAAATATTCATTATGAAACGTATTTTAATTATGTTAAATATTTCAAGATTAGAAAATAAATAAAGAAACATCATGTTATAACTATATTTATTCAGTAATAAATAATAAAGTAAATAATTGTATCTGTGTTAATACATACTTCAAAAAGGAGGTACTATTTATTATGCATATAGCTAGTAATGTTTATAGCTTTTGCATTTTCGATGACTTTGTCTAAATAAGGTAAGATATTATGTACAATAGTAAAACTAATTAAATATATTTTTTAAAGTTATCTTACGGGTAAAGATTAGGTTAGCAACGTTTTTCTAGTTTAGTAATTAAGTGTCAATTAATATTTTACCGAAATATACATCGTTAATTGTTAATTATTTCATGTTCTTTTAGAAACATTATTTCTAAAATAATATAACTATAATAATTAAAGTGCTATTATTATATATTGTTATTACACGGTGGTGTAATTTTATAGCATAAATAGCTTTTCCTGCGACTTCGTCCGCGTGGTTATAGTTACTTTGAGCAGCAATTTCGAAAACTATAAAACATATTCACACCTCAGCTCGTCTTGGCTTTTCCTTGACAATAAAGAAGTACCATAAAGAACTTTCATCCCTTAGTTCAACTCCTTTATCGCAAATATAGGTAAGGAATGTCCTTTCTGGAGGTCAATTCCGTCTCATGGTTATAAAAGGCGCGAAAGCGTAAATTCAAACTTAATTTCGTATGTAAAATATCTGAGGAATTATCGATTAATCTTTGTAACCCATTGCATATGACAAGAGATTACCCGACTTACACCCAAATGACAAAGATACAATATAAGTAATAGTTCCGTAGTCAACTTTAAAAATTACAGTTTTTTTTCAAGCTTGTGTAAAAAATGAAAAAAAATTAGGCGCCATTAAATTACTCGGCTTAACGTCGATCAGCCGAACACAAGGCTCTTCTAGAATATGGCTGCACAAAGCCCCAGTTCGTATTAGTTATTCAACGTTAAAGCATTAAAGTCGAAAAATAACTCAAATCAACAGTACTATTTTGTGATAAAATGTTAAAATGATATAGATGGTTTTATAAAAAATATACTCCTAAAAATAAGAAATTATTAATTAAAGTGTCTATTATATGAATTATTTAAAAAAATTGTTTTAGTAAACACTCAGCAACATAAAATGTAGCCCAAGCTCTTAATACAAAATTGTAGATATAAAATAATTCTATGAGGATACGTTTCAAGAAGTGAACCATTTAGTTTATTAACCTGAAACCTTTAGGGCCTCGAAACCAGAATATATTGAAAGATCGTGAGTGATGAAATTCAATAAGCAAATCAGTGCTGCTCAAGTTGATCAGGTGATAATGGTAACTAATTACAGACGAACAGAACGACAGGCGTTAGTGAACCCATGCACAGAAATAGCTCTTGCTTATGACTATACTTGGAAACTTTTTCAATCTGATTGATGAATATCACTTAAAAGTAGCTCGGTGGCGTAGTGGATTAGCGCCGCGGCCCGCGATAGTAGTCGTTAAGCAACTTTCACAAGGGTCGGTCACGGGATGGGTGACCAAATAATTCTTATCTCGAGCTACTCCGTGCTTCGGAAGGCACGTTAAGCCGTTGGTCCAGGCTGGATTTGCAGTCGTTAATACCCTCCAATCCGCATTGGGCCAGCGTGGAGGGTCATGGCCCATCCTCCTTAACCATCCATAAGGAAGGCCTGAGCCCCTGCAGTGGGGACGTAAAAGGGCTGATGATGATGATGATGACTTAAAAGTAAAAAAGAGATAAAACGTATTCTTTTTACGAATACTGAAAAAACAAAAGTGACAAAACATTTACAACTTGGATACAAGAACAAAAATTCCTACAACATATTATTGGATATAACGTAGTATCTAATATTCTTAGTTATTAACTGATTGTTAATGCTAAATTATAACGTGTCACTTTCCTATTTTAAGTAAGCACGTAATAGTGTCAAAATAAGGTGAAATTTATTTTTTCAATCGCAGAGTTGAAGTTTGAGTTCATTTCATGTTCTGGCAAAAGTGATATTAAATTATTATATGTTTACCACTAAATCGGTAGAGACATTTCGTAAACCGAATTGAAACTGATTAATGTAATCATATTTCCTTTTTCTTGTTATTTTAATCATTTATATAGTATACTAGCTGTTTTACCGCAATTTTGCCCGGATAATAAATTATAGAGTATATTATCTGCGTTTAATGTAGCGTCCTGTTAGTGAGGAATTTTAAAAATAGATCCAGTAGTTTCGGAGCGTATTTGCAAGATAAACGTCACAATTGGCGTAATTATACTATACAAATATTTGGAATACTTTTGCTATCAAATACTTGTGTTCAGCTCTATCAGTTCATTAATGACACTGGCTAGACTAACTTGTAAGCTATAATAGTGACTCAAGCTAGCTAGTTTATTACTATGTTCGAAATAAATATCCTTAAATCTTAATATAAAAAAAAACTTTTGATAGGTTTCTTGTAATTAAGAGGTACAAAACCGTTTTCGATATTGTGTTCAAAATCATAGTGTTAGTATTACCGGAAATTAAAAGGAATGGTTAGTCTTTCTCTATAATTTTTAATAATTTCAAGATTATTTATTTATGAGATTTTCGAAATAAGTATTTTATCAGTTACATTAGAACTCGATAAATATGAATTTTATTTTCTGATTTCAGTGGCATAATTTAAAATATTGTTAGACTATATGTGTGATTATATATCCATAATTTAGAAAAATATACTTGTAATGATTTTACAGAAACAGTACAATTTCAGTTGTATTAATTGGTGGTTTTATTTGCTTTTGAGATGTATTTTTTGCCCGAATTTATGTATGAATGACTCAATTACATACAACGCAATCAAACCTCGCAGCCACTAATCATATTTGTGCCAAACATTCCAAATCAAGACGTTGCCGGCTACTACATGCCCCGTGAAAAAAAACTGCCCTGTTACGGGTCATTGCCATCAAAACATTAATAGTGTAACTGTGGTTTTCTCTATTTACGGAACTTGGGTTTATGTACAAATTATTGAGCCGCAAGCTGCGGTCGCAATGCTGGTGTAGGGCACCGCCAGATTTAGAATATTACCGAAAATAAGTGACAAGCGAAGTTTTGGTAATTACGATTATTATTATTGTTTATATTTTGACGTAATGCCAGGTGAGATAACTCTTCCTTAAAGCTTATAACATCTATTTTCGATGTGAAAGTAGATGAATCATACTCATAAAATAAACCTCTGTAACCGTAGACCGAACGCACTAGCTATTGAAAAGCTCAACCATCGAGAGCTGTATGTAGGTATATCATTTTATAAATATAATCTTTTAGATTTGTTATGTACCATGTTCATGGAACATTACACTGACCTAATTTAGCTAATAGAATTATTAAATTTAATATTCTTTGCGATATAATAATTAGTTGGTCCTCAAACGTTCTTTGCTTGTAGATTTTATTTTTCGATGCCAACATCAATTTATGTGGATGATTTATGTCGATGATTCATTACTTACACTGTGTCACAAGATAAATTTTATAGCTATTCCTGTTAAGGTTTAAGGAACGTGCAACCTGTTTTGTTTTTAAGTAAGTAAATTCTTTAGTCCTTCATCACAGACAAACTAGTAACCAATATGTAGATATTCGGATGACCTCGACAACTCAATTTGTATATTTATAATAAACGAGCTGGTGCTGAAATTTTCGAGACACGTTTTGCTTTTTTAAAATTAAAATTAATTTATTTTTAAATGTTGACCTAACGCCCTGAGCTAAAGGGCGTAACAACACGAAATATTAGAATACATTATTGTGATTTAATTTTATAGTTCAAGTTTTTTAGTTACGTCAAAAAACAAGTAACTGTATACTTATTATATAATATACATACTAGTTGCATTTACTTATTCCTATACAATTGGTATAAAAATGAAAGAAGTATATATATTAGCCTAAATGCAGTGCGTTGAAGTCTTTTGGTAGGGAAGGTTTCAAGGGTATCTTTATGATAAAGGAATTGATTATTAAAACATTACAATTTATTTTAAAACTTATGAAAATAATTGAAACAGTAAGTTAGCATAGAGTTTATGTATTTATTATGGATCAACTGTCTACACAAAATAAAAATTTTATTTTTAAGGAATTCTTGGTATAGTCCCTGTTAAAAAATTTGTTTAAAATTGAATCTTCTATTTGATGGTAACAAAAAAAATCAATCAATAGATAAAACTTAGAAACAAGTACACATAATGATTTAGTTGTTGATTTTTCTAAGTTGAAAAGTTATTAACACTGTTAGAAAATAGTATTTTAAATATCGAAATGTGTTTTTTTTTTGCTACGAGGAAAGCCGACTGTTAACCTATGCTTGACAGTAGGTGGTAATAATGAACAAAATATTGTTAGTGGATTGTGACATTTTCATTCTTTTCTTTTACGAAGAAATGTTCAATTACTGTGATAATGTATTGTTTGCACAGATCATGATATTATCAAAGGTTTATTTGTGTTTTAATTTTATTTTAAATGTTGTTTATTTAACGATTTTTTAGAAAATCTTTGTCGAAATAAATAATTAATTTGATATATACTAAATAAAATAAAATTAACCCAAGTAACATTGTTTTCTTTATGTAAGAACTTACCATATCAGTGATAAAACTATGGCCTATTTGGGGCTTTAGTTAAAACATCCTTGAAATTTTTATAGTATCGTAATTTCGCAACTTGGGAAATGCTCCCAGATTTGACCAGAATATTTTTCTTTGTTAGGCTCTTATACTATAATAAAAAATATTCTTTTTATACTTTTTAAATCTAAAATGAATAATGATGATGAAGAAATAATGATAAATGAATCTGACTCTATATTTTTTTATGTATAAAACACTATAAATAATGATGATTCAGTAACAAATTGTTATTTTTCTAAATATATTGATATCCATTCATTTTAGTGTGATTTACTTCTAGTTTACGGTACTTATGAAGAAACATAATTCTTTACGAACCAGATATAGCTTTAATTATTGGTTAATTAAAAAAAAAGTCTTAAGTCGTAACAGTTATTCCTTACCCAAATCGGGATGTTCAGCCCTTGTTTCTTCGATGATGTTCTGCATCCACCACGGTTCCAGTTCGGTCATATCGCGGCGGCGCCGGCTCCGGGTCTCGAACGGCAGGTGCATCCTTCACACCATTACACGTCGTCACCTGTACTCCCACTCCACCCAACGCACTAACCCAGCAATGAATGATACCACAACCTTAACTGTCGCCTTTTCTTACACAAGGCCACCTTGTTTTAAAGTTTTTCTAATAAAAAAACTAACGAGATCACAAGTTGTTTGCACACTTTTTAAAATTCACACCTCGTCCTTTATGTTTCACTGTTGATATACATGTTCTTCGTTCATACCGCTAATTGATACTTTTAAATCTTTGTGTGACACCAATGATGCGGAACGCTTAATATTTTCGTATGCTTGTTAAACAATAGATTAGTTTCTCTTTGGATTTTAATACTTTTAGGTTCAGTCTTCGTTATCGGACGAGCGGCTCTTTATTCCTTATTATAAATAGTGTTTTCCCCTTCTGGCATCATACGATTCACTAAAAATTACGTCGTAAACAATCGGTTTACACTCATACACGAAGTCCTGTTGTGCGCTTCGATGATAACTTTATAAAGAAATATTTTCCTCGATTTACTTAACGCACCAGTTTAGCAACAGACCTTGGAGAGTTCTGCTTCAACTTAACTTTCGTCATTTTAGATGAGTCACAAACTTCACTAACTTAAGCGCGAATCTGTTCGAAATCTTAGGCATTCGTGTCAAAGGTTCCGGCCGGCGTTCTTAGAAGCATACGGTCGTATGTGCACCAGATTGTCAACATCAGCTGAGATTTAATTTATTCTAGGTAGGTATTTCCCGCGCGTTACGTCAAGGCTAGCCCGTAGTTTTGTAAACAGCGCGGCGGTGTAAGTCCCCACGTCCGTAATGGTGTACCGCGACTGGTTCCGCGACGAGTGACTCAGGTTCACAGTTTGCGGAGGCTGCGTGCGTGCTCGTTGCTCGCGCGACTCTCTACTACTGAACCGCCGCCATTCTGTCACTCGATGCCTCCATTCTCTGTGGTCAATCTGCGGTTTGGCCACGCTTCATTTGTCGGGAAAATGCGCGTCGTTTTCCTCCCGCTTGCACGTATCATCGCGACTCTCAGTGCGAAAGAGACGCGCGCAAGTTTTGTGCCATTAAATATTTTTATTTGGATCCATTGTTGAAAGGGAAATATTATGAGCTTTTTCGTTTGAAACGTTGTTACTGCGTATCTCGCTCTTCTCGTGCACTTCGTTTAGTGACGAGTGAGATGTCTATAACAGCTGAATAGCTGCCGATTTTCTTAAGTTTTACAGTAGTTTCAAAATTAAAAATATAGAAATCAATAAAAAAAATCTTATAAAATAATGTTAAATTGGTTGATTATAATCCACATATGAATGTTATATTAATGTTAGCTAATGTCTATTCGTATTAGTGTCTCTAATTGCTCATTGATGATCATTATCTCGCAATCGGAATAGGACATGTCAACGCTTCATTTGGTAAGACCAAAGAATTATATCGCAATAGAATTTTGGCAGAGATTGTGTATGGGAGTTGGGGAATGTATTCTTAAGATAGGCGAGTAGGCGTGTCATTTGGTAGGCGGGGCGGCGCCGCCCACTATCGCCAAGACAGTCGCAAGTCGCGGAAAAATGCAGTGCGAGTGCCCGACCGTCGCCGCCGCGTAGTCGCGTTGCTAATCGGGACACTTGTTGCACGAGTCACGGCCCACGTGCTGGCTAGTCTTTAGGGAAACGTGCAGTAGGCAAACTTCTTTTTCGTGTCACGGGAAATTTATTTTGTTGTAGGTCAGTACCAAACCAGTGGTTTTGATATATTTTTTACAAGGTTTTTTTTATTTATTAATTGTAGTATTATATTTTAGTTACTTTGAATTCAGCACCGTTTACTGCGTATTTATTTATTTTATACAATAAATTATTTAAAGAAATGGTGAAATCAAAAGAAATATTGTATTAACAATACGTAAAAACATTTTTTTTTTCTCTAGCCTATAATTAAAGAACTTTGGCTATGCGGTTACTTGTAATTTAATGTTGTCTGCACATTACCCAAAGATATAAAGAGAATGCTTAAGGCAAAAATTGACGTGGTCTAAGGTATGCCTAGTGGAGCCTTGTCTATGAAGGCATGCCTTGTCTATGAAGTATTAGATGTTACATAAATTAAATGTAAAACTTTTAATTTTCGAAATTAAAAAGTTTAGTTTTTATTCGACATATGGACATAAAATCATCAAGCTCTATCATGCCATTTACTAAACCGTAGTACACCACGTGACATATATTACACAACACCACGCCGTCTGGTTGACCCGTTAACCACCGCACCGATTTTTGTCGTGACCGCAATCGGCAGCTTTGCGGCAACCTCAGTATGCTTTGACGCCCAGTCTTGGAGACGAGATTGGAGAACAATAAATAATACATATGGATTTTTTTTTAATTAGTAACCACTTTTCAATATTATCGGCTTTGACTAGGGTTGCCATAATTTTTCTATAAAATAAAGTTTATTTTTTAAAACCTTAAAGAATAATGTAGATAACTGAGACACAAATCATATCCATTTGAGAGGTGGGGACCTGGTGTCCTGTGCAAACAGGTTTTAATTACCTAAAACAGGCAACAGCGATCCACAACCAAAATTAGGTTTAAGATTTATTGTATTTTATAAGTGTAATGGTTTGTGGAGAGAAATAAATCTTATTATTATTATTATTATTATTATTTAGGCACTGATACATACTACTCAATTTATACAATTATACAGGCTTAGAATAGGTATTGTAACAATATTTATATAAATAAAATTTGCCAAATAAGCAAATTTCCGGAATGACCTAAGAACTTAAGCTATGTAGATAAAAATTACAAATTTTTCAATTTCCGGTTCGAAATTTGGCTACCTGGCCAAATTTTTCTTGGTCAGTTCATCATCAGTTTTGCAACATATAATTTAGTTTTTAGAGCATTTTTACTAACGAAACTTAGCTTTTGTTAACGCTTTTGTTTCCAAATACGAATTATATTTTTATTGCTGGGGTTTATATTACATCGAAGGGGTTTAACACTTAATTTTCCCGTAACACCGCACCGACTGCGGTAGTAACATTCCGTCAAAAATACTCACTGCGGTTAAACACGTGCCAAGATGACAACCCTGTATTAAATAAGATATATCATTTCTTTAACCACATAGTACATACAATTATATAAGTCTAATAAGTTTGTAAATGCGTCAGTAGGAATGTCTACTAGTTACACAATCGTATTGGAGTGGTTAAACGTATTTTATTAATAGATAGCTACAGTACTTAGACCATACGATTAATAAAACAATATTCATAGCGCCTTGGGCCTTTTAATGAGCGGACAATATTAAAATAAAAACACTATAGAATTATTAAATTAATTAGTTCTCAAAATAAGATATCCATTGTTTTAATGAATTTTATACCTCCTCGACCTCATCTGGTACAAAGTAGTTCATTTATTTATAATAAGAGATGGAAAAATAGTTAATTTTAGGACTAACCTCACTAGATTTTTGTGTGAGTGCCTCCTAAAATATGAAGTAAATAAATCCATTGGAGAGTTTAAAATAAAGCTATGAACAAGACTAGTGACAGTTTCTTTAAATAGAGGTTTTACGCCTAGACAATCCATTTACACGCTATTTTTTTAAATGTAAACTATACCATCTTGTTCTAAATGGCTAAGAATGCAACATAAATAGATTATAAACTACGCTGAGACTAATTAATACAGTATTTGGATGTCGGGCGCCAATGATGAACTAAGATCTACGTTTTTCCCACTATCTATTAATCTAATAGGATATTCAAACTAAATTGCATTGTTCTATATTCTATTAAGATAAGATTTATGATCTCTATAAAATTACAATATTATACAAACAGCTATTGTAAAAATAAAAAGGAGGTTTGTTCATTATAAAATTTTTAATTACTTTAGCTACGGGAATTTGTATTTATTGCATTAATATAATTTCGTTTAAATTAGTATACGTAATGCAAGAAATAATCTGCTTGGAAAGAGAGAGAGAGACAGATAGAGGGTCCATTCTAATAAGAAATAATTATATTTATTCCACATGTAAATAATATAGCAATTTAAAACTCTCATATAACAGTTTGTTGGCATTTTTTGAGGCATTGCCTACGCAATCAATGAGTTACTGAAGGTCTACACATTCAGAAACTCTTGATTCCACTGTTGTTTACAAGTTGTCTTTAACGACTGTTAGTTTCAAATTGCAAATAAAGGTCTCCCTGTGCTTACAAAGTTTTAGGGCGCTTAGTGTACGTTTTTTTCTGACCGTGAGCGCGTTAAGATTTTAGTATGGAATCCGGCACTGAAAAGTTCTGTTAGAAATTAGTATACACAGTTAGAAAAGTTTAAACTTAATAGATTTGCCTTAAAAATTCTTTCGAACAATAAAACCCGCATTAAAATTACTTGTTTGGTTTTATGGGAGTCGAAAACCTAACAGAATAGGGAACATTGATGCCCGGTTTCAATACACTTATAGTCACCCAAATTTGGCGCCTAAATATTTGGGAATCGCCCAGGGTGAAAATACATTTCACTGATTACTAGGAACGACCTAATGACATTCAATAATGTCTATCAAAAGTTATGACATATATTATGCGGCTCCTTTTGCTAGGGATTTGTTTAGGATGACAGGTTATAAGTGTCAAGGGATAAAAGACAAAATGTTTAATCGGAATAAAACTAATCTATTTAGGCAATTCGTAAGATTAGGCGTTTACTAATTGAGCTTTGCTTTTTTCTACGTTGGTAAAAACGAGTGTTCCGAGTTTAAGAGGCCGAGATAGACGTTAGTATTTACTATGTATTGGTTACAAAAATAATATATACTTAAGGAACAGAACAAGTAGTTTGTGTTTACTATCACTTTACTCTTAACTATTACTTTGATTCCATTTCCGTCCCTCCTAACCAATTGGTCCCATTCCCTAAATAGCCCGTCATCAGGTAACTAACGTGATTGTTTACAAACATATTGTCGCC